GTCTTAGGGAGGCTGAGTCGTTAAGACATTTGGTCCATGGAGTTTGCTTGCCATTTGATCATGGCTGATACATTTCTTAACTCCATTCTCCTGCCTTCTCCCCCTTGAGTCTGACCGGGGCCTTGTATAGCTTCAAAAGGACACCCATGTTCCTAGTCCTCCTGAAATTAATACTAACATCGCATTTGCCCTCCTGACTGCCAACTGAACCTGCATGTTAACTTTAACAGAATTCTGAACTAGGAGTCCCAAGTCCATTTGTGCTTCAGATTTCTGAAGCCTTTCCCCATTTAGAAAATTGTCTAAATTTCTATTCTTTTCACCAAAGTGCATAACCTCACATTTTCCTACATTGTATTCCACCTGCCATTTCTTTGCCCACTCTTCTAGCTTGTCCTGTCCTGTCCTTCTGCAGCCTCCCCACTTCTTCAATACTGCCTGGCCTCTGCCTAGCTTTGTGTCATCTGCAAACTTAACAACAATGTCCTCAGTTTCTTCGTCAAGATCATTAAGCCCTCAGCAGTGTACAATTCCTCAGACTCACTACCCTCTGAGAATTCCTCATCATCTCTAGCAGTCCCTCTAAATAGTTTTGATTCATGAGCCAAAGTCTGTGTGTGGCAGCACTTCTTGAAACCAGAAGTCAATGTCTCTTCCTGCCTATTGGTCTGCAGAGAACCTCAGAACAGCCATGTAACTTAAAGAGATCACTGCTCATCTCTGTCTTAAATGGGTGACATCTTACTCTGACATTATGCCCTCTGGTCCTAGACTCGCCGACAAAGGGAAACAACCTTTCTGTCATGTTCCCAAAGAATGTCTTATGTTTCAAACATTGTTGATTGTAATACAAATCCATCTAGTTCAATAATGTCTTTTGGGGAAGGAAATCTGCCATCCTTACCTGCTCTGGCCTACATGTGACTTCATTCCCACAAATGAAATTGACTCTGCACTGCCCTCTGAACAATTAGGGATGAGCAATAAATGCTGGCCTAAGCAGTGATGCCCGTATCCCATGAAATAATAATAACCTGACTGTCAAACTTTGAAGGTTCACTACCTCACTCTATCACAGCCCCATCCAATCTCTTACTGTTCTCCGCCCTGCTTCCCACACCCCCCCCAACCCTTACTGTCTTTCCCTGAAGTCTGATCCTGAAGTTAGATGCTCTAACTGCCTCCCTCCTCCCCCCTTTGGGCTGTTTACCTCTTTGAAGAAGTTTGTTTTTGAACATTTTGTGAATTGCTTAACCTGTTAACTCTTCCTGTCTCTCTGCGTGACAGTTGTGTCTGTTTTCCTTTCAGCCATGTCCTGCCTCATTACTATAGCTCTTCATTCTCAAGCTTCAGTCCTGATGCAGGCTGCAAAAATACTGGTAAATTGGATCTCAATATCAATAGGTTTCAGGTAGACAATACCCTTCATTTTGGTAGACAGTACAGAAGCCCAGACCTTTTTAGAAAATAAATTTCCAAATGTGGTCAAAGATAAGGGCGGCAATGGTGACTCAGTGGTTAGCACTGCTGCCTCACAGCACCAGGAACCTGGGTTCAATTCCACCCTCGGGCGACTGTCTGTGTGGACTTTGCACATTCTCCCCGTGTCTGCATGGGTTTCCTCCGGATGCTCTGGTTTCCTTCCAAAGATGTGTAGGTTAGGGTGGATTGGTCATACTAACGTGCCCATAGTGTCTAGGGTGGGAAATGCAGGGATAGGATAGTGGGTGGGTCTGGGTGGGATGCTGTTCGGAGGGTTGGTGTGAACAGATGGGCCAAATGGCCTGTTTCCACACTGTAGGGATTCAATGGATCTGATGATGCAGAATGCACAAATGATCAGAAATAGTGAATACAGGTTGGGAAGACATAGAAGGACATGGAAAACACTGGAATTGTTGTTGTTTGTGGAATAGAATTGTAGGGCAGAGAAGCTAAGCACAATTTGTAGATAAGCATGGTTAATTAACACAGCAAGAACTCTTGACTAGTCCTGGTCTACAGGATATACTGCAAGGAAAAACTACTGGAATGATCCAAGAAGTGAGATTATAATTATCAGGAAACACAACAAACTGAGGCTGTTTCGTGTGAAAGCGATCAGAACTGGTGATCATAAATATAACATAGTCAAGAAATCATCCAATCACATTTCAGGAGAAATGTCAACCCAGATAATGGTGAGAATGTGAGTTTCACTGTCATAGAGTGTGGTTAAGGAGAAGCCAGAAAAGGATGAGTGAGAAAGGATCAGAGAAAATGTTGATGAAGGTGGAGTTTAAAACTGCAGCTTGAGCTCAATGGATTAAATGGTCTGTTTAAAAAGCTTTCACAAGTACCAAGTGTCTGAAAGCACTTCCAACCAACAAAGTATTTTGCTACATACACGTGGCAGCCAATTTAAACACATTAAACTTCCACTAACAATTGTCGGGTCTGGTTTTGTTAATTTTAGGATAATTATTAAGCAGGACATTGGGAGGAATTCCCTGACCACTTTCAAAATAGCACCACAGGATTGTTTTTTGCCTCCCCTTGGAAGGGAGATGGGAGTGTCAGTTTACTTCATCTGAAAAACAGCACCTCCGATGGTGCGGCGCTCCCTCAGCGCTGACCCTCCGTCCGATGGTGCGGCGCTCCCTCAGCGCTGACCGTCGAATTTTGTGTTCAATCACTAGAATGGGAGTTAAACTCACTGAGACCTGCAACAACTAAGTGACAATTGTACAGTTTCTGATTTTTAATGATTCTTTTACTCACACTACGTTAACCTTAGTGAGCAAAGATCGCAGCAATAGGAATGTTTCCCTTTCTCCAGCCTCAGCTGTGAGTCACTGCCAAACCACTGATGGTTCAAAGGGCTCCACGAGAGCAGCCAGCTTGAGGTAACTCAGACTTATTGTAGCTGCCAATGCTGGAATCTGTACTGAAAACAACAAACGCTGGAGATCACAGTGGGTCAGGCAGCATCCATGGAGAGAGAGCAAGCTAATGTTTCGAGTCTAGATGACTCTTCATCAGATCTGAAGCTTCCAAAGCACCATTGCTGACTGGGCTTGCCTCTTCCATGACCGGGGTTTCCCACTCATTGTGGGTGACAAGGGCCCTCAACTACATCTGACCAATCACCCGTGCTTCTGCCCTTCTCCTTCCCATCACTCACAATGATTGGGTTTCCGTTGTCCTCACTTTTCATCCCACCAGCCTCCCCATTCAAAGGATCATTCTCCATTTCAGACAACTCCAGCAGAATGCCACCACCAAACACGTCTTCACCTCACTTCCCCTGTCTGCGTTTTGCAGGGATCGTTCCCTCTGGGACACCCTAGTCCATTCCACAACCACCAACAACAGCCTCCTCCCCATGGTACCTTCCCATGTAACCGTAGAAGGTGTAACACCTGCTCCTTCACCTACCCCCTGCTCACCATCCAAGGGCCTAAACTGTCTTTCCAGTTGAAGCAGCATTTCACCTGCACCTCCTCCAATCTTGTGTATTGTATTCGCTGCACCCAATGTGGCCTACTCTACATTGGAGAAACCAAAGACAGACTGGGTGATCGCTTTCCGGAGCACCTCCAGTCTGTGCAAACAGGACCCTGACCTTCCCAAAGCCGGTCATTTTAACACCGCGTCCTGCTCACATGCTCCACACATGTCTGTCCTCGGCATGCTGCAGTGTTCCAGTCAATTCACAGCACAAACTGGAGGAATAACTTCTCATCTTCACACTAGGCACTTTACAGCCTTTTGGACTCAATATTGAGTTCAACACCTTCAAGTTGTGAACCATTTCTTCCCTCTCTTTTAGCTTGTTATGATATCCTCTTTTCCCTCCTCCTGCCCCCCATCCCCCCATCTCAAGGGGACTGTCTGTCCTTTCAAGTCTGACAGGAGACACACCATTGTTCAGCCATTCTCAATTCCATTCACTTAATCTGAACTTTCAACATCTTTTCTCCAGCAGCACCCTACACCCACTCTCCCCACCAACCCCCCCAAGCAATTACATAAATGCTGTCCCCTCTAAACTTCACTTCAGCTCTGATGAAGAGTCCTCTAGACACGAAACGTTAGCCTGCTCTCTCTCCGTGCACTGTACATCTCCTGAAGAATGGTCCCAACCCGAAACGTCAACTTTCCTGCTCCTCTGATGCTGCCTGACCCACTGTGATCTCCAGCATTTGTTGTTTTCAACTCAAACTCATTGCAGCTGGAAGCAAGACTTCACCTCAACTGCCTGGACTGGAGCTGGAGCTGAAATGTGAGCATCAAGCCAACTCCCCAAAGTACAAAGTTTTCTACACTAATTTGGCAAAATTTAGAGCATTGATTTAGACCACAGCTGCTGGGTTGGACCTGTTTGCGGTTGGAAGTGCTTGGATTTGGATTAAATGCTGCAACAAAAAACACACTGACACAGTTTGCTGCTTTTAATAAGAGCATTTGCTACGTGGCCCTTGCTTAAAACTATACACAGGCTACGTTTTCAATTGCTTACACATTTTTATTTCAGAACTAAGAAATTCTGACCATTCTTAGTTTACAACCTGGACTCGCCTCTCCATATCCTTATCCCAGCTGCTTATCACTCTCCTCTGCCCCTGTAACCCAGACCTAGTCCTTGTTATTTGCTGGGTGAATGATTTGAATGACTCTGAATTGCAATTCTGCGATAAATTTCACTCCACTAAATAATTAACAGGAGCACTTGACTGCTCTTGCACTCATAAGAGCTGGGGTGAGTAATTGTTAACCAGATTGAACAGTGAGTGCTGAGATTCTGGATAAGGTTCCAACATCTTTATTTTTAGTCATTCATGGAATGTGAGTAACACTATCAAGGCCAGCATTATTGCTTATCCCTAATTGCCCCGGAGAAGGTGGTGGTGGTGAGCTGCTTTCATGAACTGCTGCAGTCTGTTTAATGTGGAAATACCCAGAGTGCCGTTATGGAATTCCAGGATCTTGGTTGGTCCAGTGGCACTGGAGGAATGGTGATATATTTCCAAGTTGGTATTGTGTATGATTTAGAAAGGTACTTGCAGGTTCCCATGTCCCACCTGCCGTTGCCCTTGCGGTGGTACAGATCATGGGTCTGGAAGGTGCTGTCTCAGGAGCCTTGGCGAGTTATTACAGTGCATCTTCTGGAAAGTACTCACTGCTTCTCCTAAGTGTTGGTTGTGAAGGGAGTGAACGTTGAAGATAGTGGATGGTGGATGGGGTGATGATCGAGCATTCTGAGAAACGGTCACCGGACCTGAAATGTTAACTCTGATTTTTCTTCACAGACGCTGCCAGACCTGCTGAGTTTTTCCAGCTGCTTATGTTTACAGCATCCGCAGTTCTTTCGGTTTTTATTTGATAGTCAAGCGGGTTGCTTTGTTCTGGATGGTGTCAAGCTTCTTGAATGTTGCTGCTGTACTCATCCGGGCAAGTGGGGAATATTCCATCACACTCCTGACTTGTGCCTTGTAGATGGTGGACAGGCTTTGGGGAGTCAGGAGGTGAGTTACTCCCTCAATTCCCAGTTTGGGGCCTGCTCTTGTAGTCACAGTATGTAAATAGCTAGTCAAGTTCACTTCGGGTAACTCCCAGGATGTTAATGATGATTTCCAGCATAATCAGTTCTTTGATTTATTTGTTCAGGACATGTTGCTCCTCCCTCCCCCTCCTCTGCCAGATTCCCACTGATTCCAGTTTTACTAGGGCTCCTTGATGCCACACTGTGTCAAATGCTGTAGTAACGCCTAGGGCAGTCACTCTGATGTCGCCTCTGGAATTTGGCTCTTTACAAAGATGGACCAGTGAAGTCAGGGGCTGAGCTGCCCCGGCACACTCCAAGTTGAGTGTCAGTGAGCTGGTTGTGGTTGAGTAAATGTCACTTGATAACACTGTCAACAGCGCCTTCCTTCACTTTGCAGAAAATGGAGAGCAGGGCTGTTTTTGGGCCCAGTCGGCTGGGTGTGGTGCTGCTTTTCAATGCCAATGTTGTAGTTACATACTCATGCACACCCCTACCCCTGCAACCCCCCCCAAACTACCCCATATACTTTGCCCAAATTCTGGTATCCCCTCACGGCTCCTATATCTTTGACCTTGGGATCACCCTGTCTGTGAGCACAGGCTGGCTAAGCATAGCTCATGCCAACCAGGCAGTCTGAAACAGACAATTTGTAAGGCATTTCCTGCAAACCAGAGTGCCATGTGGTAGAGCTCAGGACCATTGAGACAGGGTTGTATGATTTCACCCAACGGTGGTGTAGGTCAGAGCTGTGTGTGTCTCATTGTCCATGTCAGTTATCCCCCTTCTTGTGAATTTTGCAATATCCTGGTGTCTCTCTCTCTCTCCGGGAGATAAATCCCTTTAACCTTCAATTCTTCAGAAAGTTTAGTAATTATGTTGGTTTGTAAATCCTGAACTTGATTGATCTGCCAATACTCACTGTTATCCCTGCAAACAATGTCTGACAGACAGATATCTGAGAAGGAACCCAGCAACTGAGGAATTGATAGTCAGAAAGAATCATAGAATTCCTACAGGCAGGCCATTCAGCCCATCGAGTTCACACTGACCCTCCAAAGAGCGTTCCACCCACACCCACACCCACACCCACACCCACACCCACACCTTAGCCTATCCCTGCATTCCCCACTATGGGCACTTTAGCATAGCCAATCCACCTAACCTGCACACTTTTGAGTAGCCAGAGGAAACCCACACAGACACAGGGAGAATGTGTAAACTCCACACAGACAGTCACCTGAGGCTGGAATTGAACTCGGGTCCTTGGTGCTGATAGGCAGCAGTGCTAACCACTGAGCCACCGTACCACCCCAAAGAGTTGAGAACTGTTTCTATCTGCATACTGTCCCTGTCCTGGGAGTATTTGATGGGGGACAGTGTAGAGGGAGCTTTGCTCTGTATCTAACCCTGCTCTGTCCCTGTCCTGGAAGTATTTGATGGGGACAGTGTAGAAGGAGCTTTACTCTGTATTTAACCCCGTGCTGTCCCTGTCCTGGGAGTGTTTGATGGGGACAGTGTAGAAGGAGTTTTACTCTGTATCTAACCCTGCTCTGTCCCTGTCCTGGAAGTATTTGATGGAGACTGGAGAGGAAGTTTTAACTTCATTTCAAACAATTAAAAGAAGTTTTACACTGTATCTAACCCTGTGCTGTCCCTGTCATAGGTTTGATTGATGGGGACTGTATCAAGGAGCTTTATTTTCAGTATAAAAGAGTAGAGGGAGTTTTACTCTGTATTTAACTCTGTGCTGGCCCTGTCCAAGGATTCTTTAGGTACAGTGCAGAAGAAGCAAGCAGGGGTTGGTGTAGTTCAGTTGGCAGGATGGTTGGTTTGTGAGGCAGTGTGTGCCAACAGCATGGGTTTAATCCCATACCCGCTGAGGTTACTGTGATGGACTCTCCTCCTCACCTGAGGTGTGATGGCTCTCGGGTTAAATCACCAGTCTCTCCTGTCTAATGAGAGAGCAGCCCTATGGTCTGATAAGACTATGGCAACTTGATTAGATAGTGGAAGCTTCACTCTGTATCTAACCCCATGCTGTCCCTGTCCTGGGAGTGTGTGATGTGTATATAGTCCAGAGAGATTTACTTTCACTTTAAAAGAGTAGAGCAAACATTATATTCAATTTAAGAATAGAGGGAGCTTTGTTCTGTATTGAAGCACATGTTGTCCTGAGGGTGTTTGGTGGGGACATTGTCAAGGGAGTTTTACTTTCAGTTTCAAAGCATAGAAGGAGCTTTACACTATGTCAAACCCCATGCAGTCCTTGTCTTGGGAGTGTTTGATGGGTACTATACAGAGGAAGCTTTTTCTATCTGACACCAAGTTGTACCTGCCTTGGGAATGTTTGGGGCAGTGTACAGGAAGCTTTATTTTCAGGTAAAAGATTAGAAAAAGCTTTACTATGCATCTAACCCTGTGCTGTCCCTGCCTTGTGAGTATTTGATGGGGACTGTCTAGAGGAAGCTTTACGTTCTATGTAACACTGTGCTGTACCTGCCATAGGGGTGTTTGATGGGGACAGAGTCAAGGAAACTTTACTTTCAGGTTAAAAGAGTAGAGGAGGCTTTACTCAGTATCTTGTTCCTGTTCAAGTTGGAGAGCTGAGGGGTCTAAGCTCTCTGTTTGCCCTGTTGACATTGAGCTGTAAATGAGAAGATGCTGGTCGATGGATTGTTGATCAGCTTTGCCCTTCCAGTACGTGCGAATACATCAGTCACAGGACAGCTAATGTCAAGTTTGGTTTTATTCTAGAACTGTGTATGCCAAACAGTCTCTCCAATCTCTCAGGCATTTGGCACAATGCCCTTGTGTGCTTGGAATGGGGCAGTGTCTGATTGGACGAGATGGTAGGGGAGGTGGTTGAATGTGACTTTTCTGGAGATTAGTTTGTGAGAAAGTGTCAACAGCTGGTCCTGGGTGCTTGCTGCAAGTTTCTCCAGTGACACACACACAACGTAAATCCTCAGGAAGGAATGAAACAGCAGAAGTTTTACATCAGAAATAAGGTGACAGAGCAGTGAGTATAGGTGAGCTGGAGAGTGTTTTTGAGGGAAGGTGAGGGCATGTGAGGAAGGGAGGACATAGAAGTTAGGACATTTGATGGAGAGTGTGGAGGGAGAGGATTGAGAAAAAGGGATTTGGGGCCTCGAAGGAAGTGTTTGGTGCGTCTGAAAGAATGAGAGTTGTGGAGGGAATGCAAGTGAGAAAGGGAGGGGAGTTGTGTCCAAAGGAGGGCAAGTGAGTCAGGCTGCCTGAGGGAGGGGAGAGAATTTAACTGAGGGCCAAGGATGTGTATGCTTTGGACAGAGTCTGACTGAGGAAGGGAGTAGGAGAAGAGTGGACAGGTGTTGGTGGGAGAAGGTTGGATTAAAGGCAATTAGGGATGGGCAACGAATGCTGGTCTTGTCAGTGACTTCCAATTCCCAAAACAAATCTTTAAATCATAGTAATTGCCCATCATACCTGTTAGACAGTCAACTTGCTGCTTGGAGCTTTGTGGCTTCCTTTGTTCAGATTTAAATCCCTAGATTTGAATCAAACTACATTGATTTTTCCATTAGGTTGAAAACAGTCATTGAAATAACCTGTAATTATGTTGTATCTTTTAATATAATCTAACATTCTCAGAACATTATAAAACAAAAAGTATCACACAGCCACAGAAGGAGGAAAAATAAGAATCTCGGAGACCCCAGCAGGTGGGCGGAAACTGCAGGGGCAGGGGTTGGGGGGTGCAAGGGGGCAGACACCACCCAGACAGGGTGTGGGGGTGGGGGGTGCGGATAGCACCCAGGCTGAGGAGTTTCCAAGTGATCAGTTCAAGCTGTTTCTTATTTGAGAAAGTTGAGGTGGAGAGGTACAGGGAGAGATTTCAGGAGCTTGTAGCCCTGGCTTCCAAAGAATAGCCACCAGGTATGCTCTGATTTAAAATTGAAATGCTCAATACGTCAATCAGCAATATGTCAGTAAGTAATGTGTAGCTCAGACTGGTTCATGCTGGGCAGTAGAATCTGGCCTGATCTTAAGTCTATGCAGGTCAGGGCATGGAGCGTGACCAGGTTGTAACTGGAATAATGATATCTCTTGATTATAAAGGCATGGGTGAATGTTTCAGCAACAGATCAGCTAAGAGAGGAATAGCGACAGTGTGAGATGGAAATAGGTGATCTTAGTGATGGTGTGAACATGGCTACCAAGTTGTAAAAGAGTCCAGTTTAGTCTGGACAGTGGCCAGAGGAGGGTATGGGGTAATTGCTTAGAGAATAGAGTTTCTGAAGACAACTGTTCATGGTCTTCCAACAATTTAGTTGAGAAGTTTTGGTTGGCCCAGGATTTGACGTTGGACAGGTATTGTGACAAATCAAACACATTGTAAGGTTTGTGAGTGGCAGTGGTGAGAGAAAGCTAGAGGTCAGCATTAATGTTAACACTGACATTGTGCCTGTGAGCAGCATCATGTCAATGAGGAACAGGATGACCCTTCATTTCAGGGGGGAAGGGGTGCTGTCGTGACTACGCCAATGATGAGAGAAGCCAGTCCATTAGTACAGGAATGGCAGATGACAGTCTCACTGCCTAGACAGTAGAGCTGTTGCAGGATGCTGGGGAGTGGGCAGTGAGTGACCTCTGGTGGCTGCACATGGTCCTGCACCTTCAGCTTGGCGCTGACCTTGAGCTTCAGTGGGTGTTTGCTGGTGATTGAGGATCTTAATCCTTCCTGTGCCTTGACAGTGATTTTGATATCCTTGATTCCACAATCATAATTATTAAACAGTACTCTTTCATCTCCAGTATCAGTTTGGATCAATCCCCACTTGGAAATGATGTGAACTATTCCCTAATGTGTCATGACAAATGTTTCTGCCGTGTCAGTCATTAATTTGTTCGAAAGAAGGGCTGTTACTTGTGGAATTTTCCACTCCAGTAATGAGGCAATTTAAATATTAGATTTCCCTGATCACATGTATTTTTGCCTCCTCAGCCAGTGCTGTTTGGACACGGCTCATCATTTCACCACATTCACCCTGTGCTCTGATGGAAAAGAACAAGACGGACTCTCAGAGTGTGGACGTGACCGAGTCCAATGCAGGACTTGTGCTGGATGAGCCTTCCAGACCTACATGGGGAAGTAAGCTGCAGTATATTCTCGCCCAGGTGGGATTCTCTGTGGGACTGGGAAATGTCTGGAGATTCCCCTACCTGTGCCATCAGAATGGGGGTGGTAAGCTTCTATGTTTTACTACTGGTTTATTCCACATTTCTTTCTGAAAATGTCGACTTGCCGGCAGACCCAGTGCCTGTTAGAATGACCTTCTGGCGGTGACTGTTTGTAAGTTGTTATATATGGAAGGCAGTGCAGCCTGATCCTGCTCCCCAGATAGTATTACCCTGAACTAAACTCCAAGCCAACAGGCAGCCCTCTACTGGGGCATCACCAAAAGAAATCACATAAACCAAAGCTGACAGACACACCCAGTAAGAAGAACTAACAGCACTCTTAACCTTCGCATGTCCCAAAGGATATATATTAATGTCAGTCAAGTCTTTTTGAGATGTGGTCAGTATTTGTAGGAAGCATGGCAGTCAACATGTACCTAGTGCACAACAGTGACTCATTCATCCTTCTGTTGAGAGCAGCCATGCTCACACACTGGAGACTGCATTTCATTAGTTTGGAACATGTGTTCACTGAGCCATTGCCAGACCTGAGGGCAGTTTCTGCGTTATTGGCTACAAGGTAGTAATTGCACAAAATCCAATTATCGCTCAGCTATGAGATCTTGAGCATATAGGAACAGGAGGAGACCATTTAGCCACTTCTCTCTCACTTGTCCCATCATTCAGCTCAACCCTTTCACTCCATTTACCCATCTTCCATTCCAAGTCCTTTAATGTTCTCAACCAGCAAATGGCTTTGAGTTGGTGAGCTCCAGTGAGCAGATGTATTGTGAAAAATCCTTGATTAGTGTTTCCATCGTTATTGTTCCAGGAGCTTTCCTTTTTCTTTACCTGATCCTGCTGGTGGTGATGGGAATCCCATTGTTTTTTCTGGAATTGGCAGCCGGACAGAGTATCCGACAGGGCAGTATTGGAGTCTGGAAACATATCAACCCACGGCTTTGTGGGATTGGGTTTGCGAGCTGTGTGGTGAGTGTGGCACTGGGGTGTGGGGAGTTGGGGAGTGTGGTTTGACGCTGAGACGATCAAGGATGGAAGTTGGGGGGGTGGGTGTTACACAATTGAGTGAGTGATGGAGGGCTATTACTGCATCTCTGCAGGGTTAGGTGTTTTTTTTAATTCCTTCATGGGGTGAGGCTCCTATAGGCAAGGGCAGCTTTTGTTGCCCTTTGATCTCTGTGTCTCACTCAGCCATTTAACCACATTACTATGGGTTTGGAGTCACATGTAGGCTAGACCAGGTAAAGACTGCAGATTTCCCTTTCCTGAGGGCATTTATGGTCCAGATGGGTTTACATGGTCAGTATGGAGTTAACTTTTAATAACACAATTTATTTTCTTGAATTCAAATTTCACCATTGGCTGTGCTGGGATTTGAACCCACGTTCGTGGGATTCTGCATACATTGTGCAATGACATTACCATTACACAACAGCCTCCCCAGTGTGTGGGTAAACTCTCTTCTTGTTTTGTGTGAGACATGAACCCTTTGTTTTCAGGGTAAGGTCACTGATATCCATGTTTGTCCAATGCTCAGGTTTGTTCCCTTGTCTCCCTCTATTATAATGTCATCATCGGCTGGAGTCTATTTTACTTTGGTCACTCCTTCCAGTATCCACTGCCCTGGGAATCCTGTCCCACTCTCGCCAACCAGACAGCAGCAGGTAGGTAGCTCATTCACTCCTGGTAAGCTTCCTGAAAAATAACCTCCTCACACCATTTCCCCTTTTCCCCTCCCTCCACCCGCTACTTCTCCTGACCCGCACCTTCTTCTCCCATCTCTCTCTCTCTCTGGCATTCTTTCGCGCGTTCTCTCGCGCTCTCCTGTTAATTTTGGCCAGTAGTCTGGATATGTTGTTTTTATTCCATGCTGCAGTCACTGAGTGCCTGGAGAGTTCCGCCACAACTTATTTCTGGTACCGTGAGGCCTTGAACATAACTGACTCTATCAGTGTCAGTGGAGGGCTGGATGCCACCATGACAGGTTGCCTGCTCGCTGCCTGGGTTATTGTGTGTCTCGCCATGATCAAAGGAATCAAATCCTCTGGGAAGGTAATGGATAATCCTTAGCCCTTCAATATTTTCTGTTTCACTGCGAGTATCTAGCACTGCTTCTGTGGTAGGGAGCTCCTAAGGCTGTGGCACTGTGTACCTGCTGTCCCCTGGGATTGCCCAGAAAGAGCCAGCTTTTCAAAAACAGTAGCACCTTTTAAAATGAGAATATTTCTGCACAGGAGGAAAGAGTTTCAATGCTAAAGTTCCTTTTAATTGAGGAAATGTTCCAAAAATTTAAGCAGAGTTAGAGGGAAGAGTATAACGAGGTTTTTATTTATTTTTGCAAGGCTTGGAATATGAGTTGGAGTTTAAGAGACTTTTCCAGGAAATGAAGACGAAATGAGGGTTGTGTTAGGTTCAGAATGCAGAGGCTTAGGCAGTTCCACTTACACCTTTGCAAATAGTGGGACCAGAGAGAGACGATGAAATACACAGGAGGCTGGACTAGTGAAAGGAATGTGAAGCCTGGAGGTGTTTGTAGGAATGGAGTACAGTATGACACGAAGACGAAGACAAAGATTTAGAATAAAATATTGTTACAACTGTGACAGGGCGACTATGCTGCTCAAATCCCACTACTTTCAGTCAAGGTACTATTAGATGTGTAGATTTAATGACAAAATGGCCAATTGTTTCCCTTTCCTCCTCCTCCTCCTCCCCAGAGTAAGAGATTTTCACCAGGCTTCTTTCATGAACTCCAGATAATCCATTAATTATAAGACAAAGCTCAGTCTTAAAAACAAGTGGCAAACTGGTTAACATCTACACTGTAGTGCAGATTAAGAAGTATAACTCTGTTTAGTTCCAAAGCGCAAACACTCACATAGGACAGTCAATGCAGAGATATTTTTTATCACTGGTCTGAAAAGAGAGGACATTATTTGTTGAATACTCATAGTCCACTGGGTTTCTTCCTGACAAAATCAAACTGTTCACAGCATTGACTGAATAAAGATCTTCCAAACACGACTTCAGTTTGAATGGAAATCAAGCTGGATCCAACTCTTTGGATAGTGATCACAGTTAAACTTTTCGTGGTTTTCACAGTAATTCAAATAATGAAGTTCAGAAACTTTATCAGGTTGCAAAGTACTTCAACTAAACAAGAATCTTACAGCTGGACTGCTGTTTTGCAGGTTTTCTTCCTATTTTCTCAGACCCTCAAAGTTTGTGAAACCAAAAACTAAGCCCAGAAAGGGTTGCTGGCCAACCATCAGCACAGGACCCCCATAGTCTCTTCCAAAGCCAGAATTTCCAACATTCAAAGGCCATTAATTTCATGTCTTAGCTCCCTAAAGGCTTTGCTTGGCTATTTTTTCAGTCATTTAATTTTCTGTAATCATCAGGTAGATCATAGCCCTTTTAAAGTGTTGACTTTGTTTCCGAGACATCACATTCACTCTCTTCAAACCTTTGGTAAAAACCCTTTTTCAATCCAGAAGGTGCCGACACTGTTCAATATCTTATACATTCCCTGTATAATCCATAAATACCAATACATATTCTTAACAAAGTTAAAGCTAAGAGGACAATTGTGTTGGATGAGTAAGCTTTAACGTACGGCAGAATATGAAAAGGTCTTTGTTGGATAGAACGGAGTTTATTGGCTGTGCAGATGATGTATTGGAATAAGAGGCTAGTGATGACAACATGGGATTATGGTGATAGAGGAGTTCAGAGCAGAGGTGAACACAACAGAGGTAAAACTAAGTGATTTTGGAGTTGAAGGAATACATAGTCTGAAAAATGTCTTAGGTCAAATAATAGCCCACAATCAACATCATGGGGTTACCATAAGACCATTAGACATAGGAGCAGAAATTAGGCCATTTGGCCCATCAAGTCTGCTCCACCATTCAATCATGGCATGATAAGTTTCTCAGCCACATTCTCCCGCTTTGTCTCTGTAAACCTTGATCCCTTTAACAATCAAGAACCTATGTATCTCCATCTTAAATATATTCAATGACCTGGCCTCCACAGCCTTCTGTGGCAGTGAATTCCATTGATTCACCACTCCGGCTGAAGAAGTTTTCTCCTTATCTCAGATCTAAAGGATCTTCCCTTTACTGTAAGGCTGTACCTTCGGGTCCTAGCCCCCACCCGGACCCCTCTCCCCGCCAATTGAAACATCTTGCCAACGTCCACTGTGTCCAGGCCATTTAGTATTCTGTAAGTTTCAGTTAAATCCCCCCTCATCCTGTAAACTCCATTGAGTATAGACCCAGAGTCCTCAAACGTTTCTCATATGTTAAGCTTTTCATTCCTGGGATCATTCTTGTGAACCTCCTCTGGACCCGCTGGGGCCCAAAATTGCTCACAATACTCTAAATAACCAGAAACTGAACAGGACTAGCCATATAAACATGCTGGCTACAAGAGCAGGTCAAAGACTAAGAATACTGTAGCAAGTTACTCACCTCCTGACTCCCCAAGCCTTTCCACTATCTGCAAGGCACAAGTCAGGAATGTGATGGGATACTCCCCATTTGCCTGGACGAGTGCAGCTCCAACAACACTCAAGAAGCTTGACACCATCCAGGACAAAGCTCACTTGATTGTCACTACATCCACAAACATCCAATACCTCCACCACTGACGCTCAGTAGCAGCAATGTGTACCATCTACAAGATACACTGCAGAATTTCTGCAAAGGTCTTTAGACAGCACCTTTCAAACCCACGACCACTTCATCCAGAAGGACAAGGGCAGCAGGGACAGTGGAACACCACCATCTGCAAGTTCCCCTCCAAGCCCCTCACCATCCTGAAATATATCTCCGTTCCTTCACTGTCACTGAGTCAAAATCCTGGAATTCCCTCCCTAAGGGCATTGTCGGTGAACTTCCAGCACATGGACTGCAGCAGTTCAAGAAGGCAGCTCACCACCTCCCTCTCGAGGGCAACAAGGGACGGGCAATAAATACTAGCCCGGGCAATAAATACTGGCCCAGCCAATAACCCCCATATCCTGTGAGAGAATAAAACAAAGGAGATGAGCCTTGGAGTTGGGACTGATGGGACTGGTGTTAGATGATAGCATCCCTCCACTGTGGAAGTATGCCATGTAGGTGTGAATGAATGGAGTTCAGGGTAGGCTGAATGGCCTGTTTGCATTCCTACTTTCCTCAGACAGACATTTGCATACAGTTACCGGAGTTTTTGCTTATGTTCAGCAGAGGGTTACAGTAACATGATCGCCATGATTTCCCTTGCAGGTGATGTACTTCAGCTCCATCTTCCCATACGTGGTGCTTTTCTGTTTCCTCATTCGAGGTCTCCTTCTGGAAGGTTCCATAGATGGAATTCGCTACATGTTTACTCCTAAGGTAATATTGAGAGGGATGGAGAGGGCCTTTTTCTGGAACACTGACCAGAGGAGAGGCCTCGCCCCGGGCCACTTGACGGGGGTCTCAGACTTAAATTTATTCACCGTTTTTCCTCCCACAGCCTATATTCTGCTTCATGTAGTAAACCTGGTTCCCAGCCAAGATGGCTGAGTGTGATGTGTAACTGGAGCTAAGGCTGAATATTTCCATCCCTTGCCCAGTAACATCGAACTAATGATAGGATTTCTAATGCTATCCTGACTGAGAACCACGGATGAATTGGGACCAAAACCTACAGGCAGCTGATTCCTACAGCCCAGTTCCACAGGCAGCATTGTCTGACCCAGTAACAGGGTTCCTCACATTCCTGTTCCCCATTGAGATTGACCCCACAGCTTGTGAGCATTCTCCTTTGACCCCTCAATGTCCCCAATTAGTGTTGATAGTAAGCTAATGTGTCTGAGGCTCCAAACTGTCAGAAAACAACCTTCATTGAGAGGCTGAACCCAATAACAGCTTAATAAAAACCCAAAGAACTGTAGATGTTGTAAATCAGAAACTGCTGAGCTTTTCCAGCAACTTCTGTTTTTGTTTCAAGTAACAGCTTAGTTCTGTTTTTGACTCTCAAGATTCTAAGATGACAACAGTTTGTGGCATTTGTACCTGATTTCTTAACAATATGACAGCAATTCAAGCTGATTTGATCCTGAGCTTTTCAGTTCTTAAAGATCCATGTCAAAGAACTTTACTGTGTGTCTAACCCTGTGCTGTCCCTGATGTGGGAGTTTTGATGGGGACGGTTTCAAGGGAGCTTCACTTTCCATTTAGAGGAGTAGAGGGCGCTTTAGTCTGTATCTAACGCTGTGCTGTAGATGCCATGCAGAGAGCTTGGGCCTCATGGCACACAGAGTGGAAATTTCACTTTTATAGGTAAATTAAGTGATCGTGTGTTCCCGAGGGAAGCAACATTTCAGATAAAGTGCTGTTTCCATTTGCTATGATTGAGTTAAATTTAAAGATTCATAAATGCCCTATTTAAAGTTGTTGGTTTCTTTTGAAGGTTGAGATCTTGATCGATACCCAAGTATGGCGACAAGCTGCTACCCAAGTGTTCTTTGCCCTGGGCCTAGGCTTTGGAAGTGTTATTGCTTATTCCAGCTACAATACCCGCACCAATAATTGCCATTTTGATGCTTTCCTTGTCTCCTTCATCAACTTCCTGACATCTGTGTTTGCTACGTTAGTTGTTTTTGCGGTGCTAGGATTCCGGGCTAACGTACTCACTCAGAAATGTGTGGCAAGGTTTGGCACCTTTTTACTTTCAGTGATAGAATTTTCAGTAATGTTACCTTTTTATAAATTTGTTAAAAAAGCATTTAATTATAGCAATAAATAGATTGTGTGTGGATCAAAGTTAACTACCTAAAGTGTTATTGAAAGTTTATATAGTTAACAGGTTTGAAAAATTACATAATGTTTGAAGTTATCATACAGCCAGTCAGTTCACACTGCACCTTTATGGGAGAGGTTTAAATTTGGGATCCACAAGACCCATCGTCATTTCCGCTCAGTCCTAGACTGTCCTGAGTTGGGTATAGATTTTTATGGTTTGTGGCTATTGATTAAAAGTTTGTATTGTGTTTCAGGAACAGCCTCAGAGTGATTGACCTGATTGATAATGGAGTTTTGAACAGGAGTTTAATTCCAGAATCTCTCAACTTTTCGACTGTATCAAATCAGCAATACAGAGAGTGGTTTGACTCGGTGAGATCAGTATTAATCCCTCATCATATCCAACAATGCAAACTCGAACAAGAAATGCAAAAGGTAATTTGCTCATGCCACTTCATCAAGCTGGGATTCTGTAAATGAAAGATGAAGGGAAAAGGGTGTTTCTCTCTGATTCACTGGGAGGCATAATGGCTCAGTGGTTAGCAATGCTGCCTCACAGCACAAGGGACCTGGGTTTGATTCCAACCTTGGGTGACTGTCTGTGTGCAGTTTGTATATTCTCCCTGTGTCTGCGTGGGTTTCCGCCAGGTGCTCCGGTTTCCTTCCACAGTCCAAAGATGTGCAAGTTAGGTGGATCGACTGTGCTAAAAACTTGCGCCATAATATATAGGGATGTGCTGGTTAGGTGGGTTAGCCATGGGAAATGCAGGGTTTTGGGAATAGGGACTGGTTTTGGGTGGGATGCTGTTCAGAGGCTAAATGATGGGCCAAATAGCTTCTTTCCACACTGTAGGGATTCTACAATTTGTCTGAAAGGGAAATGCTGTGTAATGAAGTTTGGCTGATGTATTGATTCTCTCTCTGTCTCAGGGTGTCGAGGGAACAGGCCTCGCCTTCATCGCTTTCACAGAAACTATCACACACTTCCCTGCCTCACCATTTTGGTCTATCCTGTTTTTTCTAATGTTGCTAAATTTGGGTATGAGCACAATGTTTGGAAACATGCAAGGAATTCTCACTCCCCTGCTTGACAACTTCTCCTGTCTGGCTAGGAGGAAGTCCATTTTCACAGGTAATGTGTAGTGGAATGACTGAATCAACATTGGCAGTAACGGAATGGTCACACTGGTATTTAGCAAAGAACATAGCTACCCTTCCTCTCTGATCCAATCCAACTAATGTCAAAAGCTGTAGAACTGGAAAAACTTATGTTCCCATTTAAATTGTTCATCGCATCCTGTTTGCAACCTTTTATGATTGACCTTCACTTCATCCTCCTCCAATGCCTCCCTGATATTGTCCAATGGGTGGGACTGCTCCTGCCAGGTTCTGTTCTCATTTATTTCATAGAGAATCAACTGCAATGGCTTCACTTTCCACTCCTGCACTGACACCTCAGTGTACTCAAAGAACCTTGACTTCGTCCTATTTCTCATCTGCTTTCTGCCCGTTACTGAGATGATCAAGAAACAGAACGCTCATTTCCACATGTCATTGCTGACCCCCAACCCGATCTTGCCCAACCCAAACTACACCAACCCCCTTGACCCCTTCCACTGCCTCTAAACTGTTAGGCAACTTGACCAGTATCCAGCATTGGAGGATCACCTATTTCCTGTAATTAAATATTCAGAAGTCTGAAGCCGTTACCCTCTCTGTCAAAAACTCCATTCCCTAGAAGCCAACTCCATCTCTCTCCCTGGTAGCCATCCAAGATGAAATCAGTCAGTTTATATTCCTGGTGTTGTATTTGACACTGAGATAAGGTTCCAGTCACAAATCCATGTTGTCATTAAGACTGCCCCTATTGCCAATTCTATGGCATCCTCTAACTCTACTCTGCATCAATGAATCTGCTGAAATCCTCATCCATGCAGTTTTATCTCCTGACTTGATTATTTCAACACGCTCCTGCTCAGCCTTCCACACTCCATCCAAAATTCAGCTGCCCTCGTCCCATGTCCTTGTGTGAAGTCCTGTTCACCCTCCGTGCTCAATAACTTACATTAGATCTTGGCCTTTTGATGATATGGTATTCAAATTATTTTTCTTGTTTACAAATCCTCACAAGGTCTCTGCCCACCTCATCTTTGTGATCCCCTGCAACCTTCCAAGATCACTACCCTCCTGCAATTCATGTACATCCCTGATTTTCATTGTTCCACCTTTGTTTCACCTTCTAGCAGCCAAATCTCTCACCTCCCTAACCCTCTCATTGCCCCTTGTCTTTAGTATACTTCTTAAAAATATATGTTTTTCACCAAGCTTTAGGTCACTTGTATGATATTTCCTTTACGTGGCCAAGTGTCATTTTCCTTGTTGAGTAGTATTTCCTGTGAAATATCTTAGGATATTACTTTAGAAAGGCTTTATAAATACAAGTTGTCATAAAGTTATATGGCACGGAAACAGACCCTTTGGTCTATCCAGTCTGTGCTGAACATAATCGCTAACTAAACTAGCCCCACCTACCTGCTCCTAGCCCATAACCCACCAAACCTTTCTTATTTATGTCCTTATCGAAATGTCTTTTAAATGTTGTAACAGTGCTCACATCCACCACTTTCCCAGGAAGTTTACTCCACACGCGAACCACCCTCTGTATAAGAAAAAAAAATTGTCCCCCATGTCTTTTTTAAAATCTCTCTCCCCTAGTCTTTGCTCCCTAATCTTGAAATTCTCCATTCTAGGGAAAAGACAACTACCTTTAACCCTATCTATACCACTCACGATTTTATAATCCTCTATAAGGTCACCTGTCAATCTCCTACGCTCCAGTGGAAAAATGTCACAGGCTATCTAGCCTTTCTTTATAATTCAAACCTTTGATACTCAGCAACATCCTGGTAAATCTCTTCTGAACCCTCTCCAGCTTTAATAATATCCTTTCTATAACTGAGCGACCAGAACTGGATACAGTACTCCAGAAGGGGCCTCACCTGTACAATCTCAACATGACTTCCCAACTCCCATACTCAAAAGGACCGAGCAATGAAGGCGAACATGCTAAATGCCTTTTTAACCACCCTATCTATATGTGATGCAAACTTCAAAGAATTACAGGTAGTTCTGCTGTAACACGTTTCGTTAATGCGAATTGGCTGTAACACAATTGATAAATAGTGGATGCTGTTTCGACAACATGAACTTTCTGCTGTGCAAGTATATAGCGATTTTCTCAAATGGTTTCCCTATAATGTGATTTTCTATAGCATGAGGTCACACAAGAACACAACTATAGTGTTATAGGAGAACTGCCTGTATGCACCTGAAACCCTAGGTCTGTCTGTTCTACAACAGTACCCAAGGCCCTACCATTAATTGTAAAAGTCCTGCCTCTGTTTGTTGTACCTCATGTTTCATAGAATCTCTTCAGTTCGGCCCATCGAGTCCACACCGACCTTTCGAAGAGCATCCCACCCAGACCTACTCCCTACCCCTGTAACTCTGCATTCCCTATGGCTAACCCACCTAGCCTGCACATCCCTGGACACTATGGGCAATTTAGCATGGCCAATCCACCCTAACCTGCACAGTTTTGGAGTGAGGGAGGAAAATGGAGCACCTGGAGAAAACCCACACAGATTTATCCAGATTCCACTCCTTCTGCCATTTTCCAACCCATTGACCCATTTGATCAAGATCTGTCTGTAATCTTGGAAAACCTTCTTCACTGTCTACTATGTCACCAATTTTGGTGTCGTCCACAAACTCACTAACCATGCCTTCTATTTCTCATCCAAATAATTTATATAAATGACAAACAAAAGAGGACCCAGAACCGATCCCTTTGAAACACCACTGGTCACAGGCCTCCAGTCCGAAAAGCAACCCTCCACCCCCACTCTCTATTTCCTGGTGTTAAACCAATTATGTATCCAATTGGTAAACTCACCCTGAATCCCATGTGACCTAACTTTACTAATTAGTCTACCATGCTTACCTTATCAAAGACTTTGCTAAAGTCCAAATAAGCAACATCTACTTCTCATCAATCTTTTCATTTAACCAAAATGCAATATCTCACATTTACCCAAATTAAAGTCCATCTCCCACTCCTCAGCCCATTGATCCAATTGATCAAGATCTCTTTGTAATCTTAGATAAACTTCTTTGCTGTGTTGTTGGGCTCAGGTCCAAAGCTGTTTCCCATTTCTGCACTAATTTAAACTCTGACAGCTTTGGTAAACCATGAACTGTATGTTATGCTCTGATTTGCCAATTCTTTGCTAGCGAGGGAGTAGGCCATTCAGCCCCTTAAACCTGTTGAGTACCTGATTTGTCACTACAGCTCATGTAACACCTCATTATCCTTTTAATCTAGTGGTCTGCTGCATACTGGGGTTTGTTATTGGAATGATATTTACACAGCGTTCTGGAAACTATTTTGTGACCATGTTTGATGATTACTCTGCGACACTGCCTCTGATCGTAGTGGTTCTGTTTGAGCTGATTGCTGTGGCGTGGGTCTACGGAGCTGACAGGTACATTCATAGTCTTGGTGTTCAGGCTCCATTTGTAGTGTTTATTCTCTCTCTCTCTCTCTTAATCTTTTCCTTTCTCTCTTGCTTGTTTTCACTCTCATCATTAGAGATAAAATCATCTGTTTGCTAATTCATTATACTATTCCCTAAATCCTTTCTCCATTTGATGACTCTTTAATTAACATTTTCCTCTGCTGCTTTTGCATTCTGTTTACACATGGCAGCCTCACTCTCTCTGTCCAGTTTAACTCTTTTTTTCTTTCCCTTTTTATCTGGTCTTTTTGACATGTTGAAAGTCAAGCAGGACACACACTCTCCTAAGTCAGTCCTTGTACTACAAACACAAGTTAATATTCATGCTGAGGAAACTCTGGCTTTTGGGAGAGCAGCTGTAAAAAGGGCAGTAAGAGATTTCTTTGTTGGTGGAGGTGATCCTGCTGAACAAATTAACTTTCTATTGAAAACTCAAATTCTCTTCAACACCGTCCTCATCAGACACTGCCAGGACAGTGATAGCGCAGGGTTAGATACAAAGTGAAGCTCCTTCTAATCTTTTAAACCGAAAATGAAGCTGTCTCTACACCGTCCCCATCAAACACTCTTAGGGGTTGTGACTTAGAATCCAGGTTGTAGGTGAGTTGTAATTTGAGGTTGTTTGTTGCAGGTTTATAGATGATATCCAGGCTATGATTGGTCACCGTCCTGTTGTTCTATACAAGTACCTGTGGAAGTTTGTATGTCCCAGCATAATGGTTGCTCTGCTGTTGGCTAGTCTGATTCGCATGTGCATCAAGCATCCACAATATCAATCATGGAACCAAGAGAAGGTAAGACCAATCACAGCTTGTTTAAAAATTATTTCTATGAAACAAAATGACTGGGAAAGTTCTTTGCAGGATGGTTTGACTTTAATTCAGGAGGTACAGAGAACTCTGAGTAGGCTGCATTAGCTGCATGCCACTCTTCACCGATCTCTCCAACTTTGATTAGGAGAGTGGGGCTGGTGCCACTTTAAAATCACTGTGCTAGTAAAATTCTTTTCCTGTCGCTGGGTCAAAATCCTGGAATACCCCTCCAAGGACATTGTGGGTCAACCAACAGCAGGTGGACTAGCGGTTCAAGAAGGCAGCTCACCCCCACCTTCTCAAGGGGCAACGAGGGACAGGCAATAAATGCTGGGCCCAGTCAGTGACCCCCACATCCCACAAAAGAAGTTTTTAAAAATTTACATTAATGTGGCCTTGGCTTAAGTTGCTTGGGAGGATGTAGGGGGGAAGCATAATTCCTGCAGTCATTAGGAAAGAGGGCAACCATGTGAGATCCTTACTGGTGTCAGTTCAGATTTAATCTCTAGATGTTTCACTGCCCTCTACCATAAAATAGATTAAAATCTCTGTAAATTTATGTTGGCATTAATGTAAAAAGCTTCCTCTCTTTGACACATCAGTGTACTTGGAATACTTACTGGACAGTTACAGAGTAAAGTCCCCTCTACTCTGATTTTTTCTTAAAACAGAAGAAACAAAATACACTGTTCCCATCAAACACTCCCAGACAGGTACAGCACAGGGTTAGATAGAGCATAACTCCCTGTACTCTTTTAAACTGAAAGTAAAGCTCCCTTGACACTGTCCCCATCAAACACTCCCAGGACAGGTACAGCACAGGGTTAGGCACAGAGTAAAACTGTCTCTACACTGTACCAAAAGAGTGCTGTTTACTGCAGATGTACCAAACCTGGAGTTCACTGCCTGTTGGCATTTCAACTTCTGTTCACTGGAGATGGGAGGTTGCAAATCAAAGACCTCAAGATGATGTGTGGGCCCAGGTCCTATGTAAAAATAGATGATGTTTTTGAAGTTGCGTCTGTTTGAAGTTTACTGAGAGTTTGGTATGAATCTTTACTCATTGTCTTTTGCTGTTTCCAGGCAGAGGAGATACTGCTGGACTACCCTGGTTGGGCATTAGCCATGATGATCCTCCTGATCATCTTCGCTTGTCTGCCCATCCCCCTCATGTACATCCAGTACATGGTGCAGGACAGGCTGAATAGAAACACGGCCTACACAGAGTGTGTCTACATCAGGGGCGATGAAGATAATGAACCCACCCTCCCTGTGAATGGGAATGAGGAAGTGGAACCTGGGAGAAATGGCTATCTGAAGGTTGAGACTGACGAGGAAGGGCTGGAAAGAGCAGAGCTGCTGGCAGAAGAGGAGGACGCACTTGAAATGGATGACATGTCACATGACAAAAAAGATGAATTGAGTATCAAAGCCTAGTAACTCCCATGGAGTTCATTTGCCCATTTTAGATACTATCCTTGAGCCTTCAATATTTTTAAAAAACAAAAATATGCTGCAAACATTTTTAACAACTAACTACAAGAGCAAACTCTGTCTTTTAATGAGGTGCTCATCTGTCTGAGTGGGTGCTAATTTTTCTAAAGTACGTAATGGAACACTGGCTTGTTTGACAAGCTCTGGTTATACTGAAATTTGCGACCTGAAATCACCAAACTGGAATTAATTTGAATTTTTAAAAATTCACCAACAATGCAAAAAATCCTGATGAAGAATTCACAAGTTATCAGAAAGGAAATAGTATTAACTCTCAATCAGTTGGGAGTTACGTGTGAAATGGGGCTGGGGTGTGAAGTGGGGAGATAGATGTTTGGGATAGGGATTGTGAGTAACGATTGGGAGTAACTGGGCAGTTGGGAATGAGATGGGGTGGGTGGGAAGGTTATAGCAACACTTCAACGTGGGAGCCTACCTGATCAAGTATTCAGACAGTCGGCTGGGACACTTGAGCAAAATGTATTGATCTCAGCAAAAGAAAACATCTGCCTTATGCGACCAAGAAGATGCAGGCAAGGCTCTGGGTACCAGCCACGGAGAGAAACAGAACATTGAGAGTCGAAGAGAGCAGCAAGTTTCCATGTAGTTCTAGATCTCACGGCAGCATAACTGGGAGCATTGCCAAGGGTGATTCAACGTACTGAGCAGAATTCTGGGCTCCCATTAACCTCGTGCTTGTCTGTACCTCTCTAACTGTGATATTGATGTGGAGGTGCCAGGGTTGGACTGGGGTTGACAAAGTCAGAGGTCATACAACACCAGGTTATAGTCCAACATGTTTGTTTGAAATCACAAGCTTTCGGAGCACTGCTGCTTCGTCAGGTGAAGTCACAACCCTCTGGTCCTGAAGGAAATGCTGTTGTGATAGTAGATGCATTATTTGAAATCTTCCAAACTACCCTAGATTCTGGAAAAGTCCCAGCCAATTGGAAAACCCCACATGAAGGATCTCCTTGCATTGGAAGCAGTTCAGAAAAAGCTCACTTGGCTAATTCCTGGATGAAGATTCCACAATAGGAGTAATATTGGACTCAAAAAGATTAACTCAGTTTGTCTGCACAGATGTTGCCAGACCTGCTGAGGTCTTCTGCACTTTGCTTTTATTACAGGGATTGAAAGAGTTATCTTTTGAGAAAAGATGAGTAATTTGGAATTGGTAGGTTCATTGGAGTTTAAAAGACCTGAGAGATGATACTATCAGAATATATAAAATCCTTAGGGAACTTGATAAGGCGGATGCTGAAGGATGTTTCTTGTGGGGAGTCTACAATGAGGGGACACAGTTTCAACATAACTTATCTCCCATTTATGATGGAGATTAAAAAATAAATTTCTTCTAAGTTGTTGGTCTTTGGAATTCTTCTTGCTAGAAAGCAGTGAAGGCTAGATGATGTGTATATTCAAGGCTGAGTTAGAAAGATTTTTGATTGACAGGGGGCTCAAATGGATGGAGGGGGATTGTTACCGAGAGGAGAATTAACGGCATAATCAAATCAGCAATGATAAAATTGAATGACAGAGCAGGCTGGAGGGCTAAATGACCTATTCCTGCTCCTAATTCTTAGATCTTATTCTTCCAAGTGAATGTTTGGGTGGAAGTGAGATGGCCGTGTTGGTTGGGAGTTGGCTGATGGTTTATGAGCACTGTCTCAGTTTTAGTCTTCCAGGTGTAGTCCACTGAAGGTGGTCAGGGATTGTTGGCTCAAACAGCTGACCTCTTTTCTCTCTCGCAGATTGCCCTTGTTGGGTAGAAGGTTATAACACCAGTTTCAGTGTTTAATTGGGTATCAGCTTTCCATGTGTTGATGTACATATAACAGACTCTCCATAGAGGAAATTGCCTTTGTCTTTGAAATGTTGTCATTATGATGCCAATAAAGGGGGCTGCTCACCCAGTTAAGTGGGGAGTATTCCATCACAATCCTGACTCATACTTTGTCGATTGTGGACAGGCTTTGGGAGTCCACAGTATTTAATTAGCTAGTTCAGTCCAGTTCCTAGTCAATGATAGCCCCCAAGATGTTGATTCCGGGAGTCAATCCTGATAGTTTTTTTTTCCTTTTTTTTCATTCAAGGGATGAGGGCATCACTGGCTATGCCAGCATTTATTGCCCATCCCTAATTGCCCAGAGGACAGTTCAGAGTCAACCACATTGCTGTGGGTCTGGAGTCACATGTAGGCCAGACCAGGTAAGGATGGCAGCTTCCTTCTCTAAAGGATATTAGTGAGCCACATGGGTTTTTCCAATGGATTCATGGTTGTCAATAGATTCTTAATTCTAGATATTTATTGAATTCAAATTCCACCATCTGCCATGGCAGCATTCGAACCTGGGTACCCAGAATGTTAGATAACAAGGTGTAGAGCTGGATGAACACGGCAGGCCAAGCAGCATCAGAGGAGCAGGAAGGCTGACGTTTCAGGCCTAGACCCTTCTTCAGAAAAAAAAACCAGAATGTTATCTGTGTCTCTGGATTAACAATCCAATGATAATACCACTGGGCCATCACTTCCCCTTAGTGATAGTAATACTGTTGAAAGTCATGGAGAGAAAGTTGGATTCTCTCTGTTTGGAGATGGTCATTGCCTGGCACTTGTGTGGCACAAATGTTACTTGCCATTTATCAGCCTAAGCCTGAATGTTATCTCGGTCTTGCTGCATTTGTGAATAACTTGCTTCAATATGTGAGGAACTGCAATTGGCATAAAGCATCAGCAAGCATTACCACTTCTGACTTCATGATAGAGGAAAGGTAATTGAGGTTAGATTGGAAAGACAGGGCTTGTTTGTACTGGTGTTTAGAAGAGTGAGAGTTGATTTGATTCAAATGTAGAAGATCCTGAATGGTCTTGACAAGGTTGATGTGGAAAAAACATTTCCTCTTGTGAGTGAGTCAAGAACCAGGGGACACAGCTTTAAAATCAGGGTCTTTCTGGACAAAAATGAGGGGAATTTTTTCTCTGAGGGTTGTGTGTCTTGAGGACTCTGCCTTAAAAGGTGGTGCAAGTGGATACTTTTAAGGTGGAGGTGATTGATTCTTGAGAACAACAGAATTGGAGGTTATCCGGGCAGATGGGAATGTAGAATTCAAGACACAAACAGATCAGTCATGATTCTGATGAATGGTGGAGCAAGTTTGAAAATCGAACAAGATCCTTCTGCTTCTATTTCATGTGTTTGAAGCAGCTGAAGAAAGCCTAGGACACTACGTGAGGAATTCCCACTGTGATGTCCTTGGACTGAGATGATGTAGCCTACAAAATGAGAATCATCTTCCTTTGTGCCAGTATGACTCCAGGATGTTTAGAATTTTCCCCAGATTCCTATACACTTTTTTTTAGGACTCCTTGATGACTTCAGTCAGCATTTGACTAATTGTGCCAAAGGTGGTCATACTCGCCTCAATTCTGGCATTTAGCTCTTTTGCCCTCGTTTTGGCCAAAGCTGTAATTAAGTCAGGAGCTGAGTAATTCTGGCAGAATCCAAACTGAGCATCAGTGAGCAGGTTATTGCTGAGTACCTGCTATCTGATGGCAGTGTCAATTTCCTGATGAACAAGAGTAGACAGAGAGCAGTAATTGGCTGAGTTGGGCATTCCTGGCTAATTTTCCACATAGTTGGTTAGCTGCCAGTGTTGTTGCTGTACTGGAACAGCTTGGATAGGGGTGTAGCTATTTCTGTAGCACAAGTCTTCAGTACTGTTCCTGGCATGTTGTCAGGGCCCATAGCTTTTGTAGCATCTATTGCCTTCAGCCTTTTCTTGATATCACCTGAATTAAACTGAATTGGTTAAAGATGACACCTATGATGCTGGAGACCTCAGCAGCAGGTTGAGATGGATAAACTACTCGACATTTCTGACTGAAGATTATTGCAAATGCTTCAGCTTTTTCTTTTGCATTGACGTTATAGGCTCCCTAATCATTGAGAAAGGGGATATTTTTAGAGCCTTCTCCAGTGAGTTGTTTCATTGTCTACTATCATTCACAACTATATATGGCAGGAATAGTAGGAGCTGCCGATGCTGGAGAATCTGAGATAACAAGGTGTAGAGCTGGATGAATACAGCAGGCCAAGCAGCATCAGAGGAGCAGGAAGGCTGACGTTTTGGGCCTAGACCCTTCTTCAGAAAATCAGGAGATGCTGGCGCATTGCTGCGAGTGTGTGTTTCAGGAGTCGCAGGGAGAAACGCTTCTGAAGGATCTCAATGTTCTGAACGTAGACATTGTCACGGTTGGGTCTAGGCCCGAAACGTCAGCTTTCCTACTCCTCTGATGCTGCTTGGCCTGCTGTGTTCATCCAGCTCTACACCTTGTTATCTTATATATGGCAGGACTAAGGATCTTGGATCTGATTCATTGATTTTGGAATTGCTTAGCCTGTCTATTGCATGCTGCTTCTGCTTTGTCATGCAAATAAGTCCTGTGTTGTAGCTTCACCAGTTTCACACCTCATGTATAGGTATATCCAGTGCTGCTCCTGGCATGCCCTCCTACGCTTTTTATTGAACCAGAGTTAATCTCATTGCCTAAATAAAAGTGAAATACTGTGTATACTGGTAATCTAAAACAAATGTAGAAAATAGCAGCGAAACTCAGCTGGTCTGGTAGCATCTGTGGGGAGAGATACCCAACATTACAAGTCTAGAAGGACTTCTTCAGAGCCCAACTGGACTTGAAACATTAATGCTTTTTCTCTCCGCAGATGCTGCTAGACCTGCTGAGTTTCCACAGTATTTTGTTTCAATCCCACAGTTTGATGCATTGGTAGAGTTGGGGATATGCTGGGCCATGAAGTTACAGACTGTGGAAGAGCATAATTCTGCTGATGCTGATAGCCCACAGTACCTCATAAATGCCCAACATTGAGTTGCTAGATCTGTTTAGAATCATTCCCATTTAGCATGGTAGTGCCACACAACACAATGGAGAGTATCCTAACTGTGAAGACAAGACTTTAACTCCACGAGAACTGGATGATGATCATGCTCACTGATACTGTCATGGACAGAAAGACGTGTAGATTGGTAAGGATGAAATCAAGTAGTTTTTGCACTATTTGGTTCCCTCGCCACCTGCCATAGATCTAGTCAAGCAGCAGTGTCCTTTAGGACTCAAAAGCTCAGAAGGTAGTGTTGCTACTGAGCAACTGTTGGTGACGGACTTTGGACTTCCCCATCCTAATTACATTCTGTGCCCTTGCCACCTTCAGTCATTTTTCAATTGGTGTTCAACATGAAGAAGTACTAATTAATCAGTGGTTTACTTTCCCATCTTTGACCTGATGCCTTGAGACTTCACGGCGTCCCGACACTATGCTCAGGGCAATTCCGTCCCAATTGTATACCACTGCCACCACTTTTGGTGAGTTTGTCTTGGCAGGGCAGGACATAACCAAGGATGGTGATGGTGCAATGTATGTTAGGTATCCTTCAGTGTGTTTGACAAAGTAAAATTATTGCTTGGTTTTGGACAGAGGGTGCCATTGTCATTTCTGATGTCAAGGTCAATGCTGAGGAGTCTGTCTAGTTTATTCTTATTCAACTTTTCTAAATAGCTTGATACAAATCAATGTCTTTCTTGGACAATTCAGAGGGCAGTTAAAGATAGTCACATTGCTATGGGTCTGGTGTCACATATAGGCCAGACAGGGCAGGGACAGCAGATTTTCCTAAAATACACTAATGCCCAATTGGGTTTTTATAGTTGGGCAGATCTCCCCTCCATAGAGAAGCAGAATAAAAAGCCAGCACTTGTTCAAATGCAAATGAACAGTTTGGCTGTCAGACCTCACTGCTGTTTTTTTCATAGCAGTGGGTTGCTGGGTTTAATTTCCACAAAATAAAAGACTGAAATTATTCAATGGGGCACCATGCCAAAGAGTAAATTGTCCAATCTGTCATATTCTTCACTGTGACAGATTTGAATTTCATTGTCTGAGATTTTCAAAATTTGAGCATAGGTACAAACATAAATTGTGTGTGGTGTGCATGCATAAGTGAACGTGTGATTTTGTGTATGCACATCTATGTATGTGTTTTCATGGGTGTACATTTATCATATTGTTACAAACTTGTAATAAAGTATTTCTGTCTCCGAAGGACTGGACAATCCAGTAGTTCAACTGTTTACAAAATTAATGTTGGGAGCCATTAACTTTTAAAATTAACCATTGGTTTAAAAAGTGTTATCTGTGCTCCACCTGAACCATTTCATAAGGAAATACTGAGTATTTTTGAAGAGCATTGCATGAAAATAAAATCATATGTACAGCACAGACCAGTGTGAAGTTGTGATGTGTTAGTGATTATCCATTAACACCTCATTGGGAGGTAGACAGTTAAGGTGGGTATGGGAGTGGGAGTTATAGGGGGTATTGGGCTGTGTGTGTGGGGCCGTTAGTGGGGTTGGTGTGTGGTGGGTATGGGGGGGTATGTTGGGGTGTGTGGTGGGGTATGGGGAAGAATGACTGACAGTATTGGAGTGTGGGGGAGATACTGGGGGAGAATGACAGTATTTGGGGTGTGGGGGGGTACTGTGTGTTTGGGGGGGTTATTGGAGTGTAGGGTGATACTGGGGAGAATGACAGTATTGGGTGAGGGGGGTAATACTGGGAGAGAATGATGGTGTGG